CCCGTATTTTTTTTTTTTTTTTTTAAAGTTTGGAACTCAGACCTTCATAAAAAGCTGGACTCACTGCCCAGAAAAACAGGAAGGTTACTCACCGAGAAGTCAAGGACATGGAGCATAAATATGGGTCACTAGTGCTTCAGCAGCAAAGCGAAATGCCAGACATGACTGAGTGTGACACCACTGTGTGTCCCAACCCTGTGCGTGCCTCACTCAGGGACTGCCAACAGTCTGCATGGTGGCATGGAATTCAGCGAGGTCCTTTTTAACCCCTCAGGCTTCTCCCCAGCCCCAGGCAGCTGAGTGACGCTCACACTTAGTGTCCCGAAACTCTGGAAAAATAACCTCTGTCACCAGAGGTAGTGTGACATTGGGGATGGCTCAAGGGGGCTTCCTGTCAGCATTTCAAACCTGCAGCCTCAGCTAGGGGCGGAGGGTGGAAGAAGATAATGAGGCAAAAATAAATAAATAAATAAATAAAAAGGAAGAGAAAGGACCATGCTTGGTATAGTCTCTGGAAGCTGCTCCTTGAAACCTTGACTTTCATCTTGCAGTTGAATTTCTCTACATACCATTAGAAAGAATCTTGTTCTTCACACACACACGCACACACACACACACACACATATATATATATATTCCTTTTATTATCTTTCTCCCGATAGGTAAGAGTGAAACGACAAGCTGGTATTCGCTGATTGAACCCTACCTGGATCTAAAGCAACAGCTGTGTGCTCGACTGCCCAGAGCTCCAAGTTTTCACTATCTGCCAGCGTTAGAGGAAACCAGACCAAGCCTACAAAGCCCTGGCCCTCTGGCTTCTCTGGAAGAAGGGAGAGCCGGCAGCTTGGTGCCCGTGTTGGTGCCCTGGGGCAGTCCACAGCAGTCACCCGCGGCCTTCTCAGGGCAGACCTCGCTGGCCTCTCTAGCAGAGTGCTGCTCCCTGGGGACTGGCCTGTGAGGACCGCCTCCTCTCCCCTCCTTCCTGACGTGGCCACTCCTGGTGCACGTGAACGAGCAGCCTGGCCCTCACCCGGGAGCTCCTTAGATGGGATCTCGGCCCCCTCCAAGTTACTAATGCAGAAGCCTCACTTTAACGAGACCCCGGGTGACCCCGTGCACAGTGTAGCCTCAGAAGCACGGATGTGGGGATCAGAAATAGTCAGAGGAAGGCCATTTCACCGCAGTGAGGGGCGCAGAGTTGGGGTCGGCAGAGGGGTGTGACAGTGGGAGGGGCTGTCTGAAGCCACCTCTGCCTAACAGGTCATTATTCACCACGATGACGAGAAAGGACAAAGAGCGGACGTGCTGAGTAGCAGTGGCCACCACAGTGGTGTCACCTTAGATAGCGCACCCCAGTCCGCACTGCATCCTCCCGTCTCATCTACTCTGAGGCTGCTGTTGGCTGCCCCTTCTTCACACTGCCTGCGACTCATTCTACTCGTGTGTCTCCCAGGGCACGCACAGCCCCTGTCTTTAAACCTGCCACTAATACCTATCTTAGCCAAATCAGTATAAAGCAAGCATTTGAACAGTTTTGTTTTCACATGCTCTGGAACTCATTCTATCTGGACGTGACCTAGGTGCGCCGTTGGGACTAACAGAAGGAAAATACGATCATCGACGTCCCGTTACCATTACGTGTCAACACGTCACTCGCCGTTTAGTGTCCACAAACACTGAAACATACATGTGCATTTTCTTAGGGTTGGGGAGTTGCAGGGATTCCTAACTAGTCTGATGGAAAAAGATTCAAAAGGGAGTGACACAGACTGAGGAGTCTGCTAGCGGGAGCCCTCACACGGCCAAGGTGCAGGGTGATTCGAGAACAGGAACAGAAGCCACCGAGAGTCCTGACTGGGAGCGTAAGGCAGGCGAGTAGCCAAAAGAAAGACAATAAAAACAGAGACGCCTGCTTAGTAAAGAGAAGGGAGAGAGAGAAGGGAGAGGAGAGCACAGAGGAGAGGAGGGGGAGGGAGGAAGGAAGACAATTGGAGAATCCGGGACAGAAAACAAACACGAATGCCAAAGAAAAACAAGAGAAAGAAGGCAGTCTCTCCTAAAAAACCACAGAAAATAATGAAGAAAAATCCAAAACACACCAAGAAATCTGTTTAAGTCTGGTCTCTTAGAACAAAATTAGGAAACTTTCCCTTTCTATAGGAGAAAAAAGAAAATCTCAGATGCCAGTCTAAATACCCCAAGTGACCTACCAAGGTCAGGCCAAAATGACTTCCTCCTTTCCCAAGGAGCACACATATAAAGAGCGTGCACTGGGACCCTGGCTGGCCTCCCCAGGGATGTGCAAAGCGATTTCTTATGCAGAAATCAACCAAGCTCCCCTTTCCTGGACAGTTCCAATTTCCATTCTCTAAATGATAATAGACATAGAATGCCAACAGCTGGCAAAGGGACGCGACTGCACAACATGTGTGCCTTTAAAGAAAAAGATTAACATTCAAATTGCTTTTTGCCTTTCAACCGTGGGAATCACACAAATCGGGCCTTTCCCGAGGTTCCGCTTGAGAAAGGAAAGGCGCTCCCCGCGACTCTGCTGGGCTCCTCACCTCGAACTTCTGCCTGAGCTCCGCGTTTCCTTCGTCGTCCCCTTCCGGAATGGGTACGTTGTAGTACTCGCCTTCTTCCTGGTTAAGCAACTTGTACCTTTCAAAGACACAGGAGAGAAGGAGGGTTACGGGGTTGCACCTCCCGCGGGCAGTGCTCTGCTCCCGCCTCTGCCCAAGCCTCTCGCGACCTGCGTCCTGGGGCGCACTGCAGTCGGGCAGCCAGACATTCACCTGATGTTCCGGCGACAACCGGCTGGTTGCTCGCTTCCTAAATGTCCCGTGTTTAGACACATACCCTTGGCAGCGGCCTTACCATCCACTGGCTGGCATCTTCATTAGCTCCGACACTCCAAAGGACAGGGATCCCATGAAATCATTCCTTGTAGTTCGATCCCAGTCCCAAATTTCTACAGACAGTCGCCGGTCTTTGTCTGAAGGTTTTAATTTGCTACAAAACACACAGACACACTACGGTTATCTTGACTGTGGTTCCTTAGGGCATACAACAGACTCGTGCTCTGAGCCCGAGACAGAGGACTAGCACGCGGAGTTCTCTGCCTGTGCCCACAAAGTTCCAGCTCCTCACACTGGCAACCAAAGCTCTAGACCAGGGGCCAAATCTGTGTCACTACTAGTTTTTCTAAATAAAGTTTTAATAGAACACAGCCATGGCCATTAGTGTACACAGTGTCTGGAGCTGCTTTGGAACTAGAAGGTCAGACTGTCTGGGTGAACAGAGACCATGTGACCCATGGAGTACATAACACTTACTACCTGGTCCCTTTATAGAGCAAACGTTGCTGGCCTCTCTACAGTTGAGAGCACTGCTCCTGGCTGTCCACAGACAGCACGCTCCCTGTGGTGGGCTTGCAAAGAGGGTCACTTTTATTCTTCCTTGAAATAGGACCGCTTCTGTGCTCAGCTGTACTCTGTGTTTATTCCTCCCCACCCTTTCTTCTTTCCCTTCCACCATCTCTCTCTCTGAATTCCGGCAATCCTTCAAGACCCACTTTAAATGTCACCTTCTCCAGCAAGTCTTCCCTGCTTGAAGGTGAGGATGATCTTCCCCTCTCGATGACTTTAACACTTTCTAGATTACTTGTTTTGTGTTTTAAAAGTTATTTAAACTCTGGCCTTATGCCCTCCACCCCCAAGTCCCCAAAGAACTTGAAGTCCTCAAGAAAGAGAACACACCTTAAACATTTATATATCAACGGTGGCATCTTACACGGGACTTTTTGTACAGAACAGATGACAGTCGGGCCTGCCTTACGTAGCCCTTGGTGAACCGAGTACTATTCATCAAGCAGAGGTGATCCCAACCTGCTCTCTCACCGCGCTCTGAGGTCTTAGGAATGAAGGCATGTGTAAAGACGTTTATAATGAGCCCCACGCATCACCTCTGCTACCGAGGTGAGCACTGATGGTGTGCGGGAACAGAATCTAATCGAGAAGAGAAGAGAACACTTACAAGGTGAAGGACTCATTCCACTGGGGGTTTAGTGTGGAGCGGATGGTTTTGGTTTTCTGTTTGCTTTCATTCTTGGGATCGGGGATAAGTTTCAGCTTCACGTAAGGGTCTGAAAGCCCATTTGGATCCATAGGGATTAGGTTTTTTGCATCTCGTACTGTAAAGACAGAAGGAAGACAATGTCACAAAAAGATCACTGGCCTATATGGTCCGGAGTCCAGTGTCAGTACTGCTCCAAGTAAAAGAGACATGAACGCGGGGCTTACAGGGAGGAGGTGAGGACCCAAAGCTTCCAGCACTCAACTAAGCCACCTGCCACCACCACTGGCAGACCATGAGTGCAGGCCGGCCCTGAGACTCAGGGCCACCTGGATTGGCAGCCTTGGTGACACGCAGGCAGCTACTAGAAATGCAGAAGCCTGGTGAAGCAGAGACCCAGGTGGCCTCTGCGGCAGAAATGGTGCACCCTCTGAGCGAAAGCCTGACTTGGCCCAGTGCACACACACACCTGGAAGGTGTTCTGTCTCTCTTTTGTTGTGAAGGCCAGTGGTTTCCACTGGAATCCCTTGGGAGGGGTTACAGATTCTAACACTAATCATCAAGTTGTAGTATCCAAGGGGTGTGGCCGTGTACTCATTTTTAAATGTCCGTAGAAGATGCTGTCCTGCAGCAAAGGGGAGAGCTGTCGTGTAGACGGCTGTCATTCAGAATCAATGCCTACCACGTGGGTGCTGGAACAAGTGTATCTTTGCCCGGGGGCTCCTTAGACGTGACTAAGGCAGAACCCTCACTTTACCGAGATCCCCAGGTGATTCCGATGATGGTCTAGCCTGGTAAGCCTGGATACGGGGTCAAAATAACAGAAGGAAAGGCCACTTCACCACAGTGGGGGCCTTGGAGATGTGGCTGCCAGAGGCTTGTGACAGTGGGAGGGGCTGTCTGAAGTCACTGCACCTCTGCCCACCAGGTCATTATCTACTATGAGGAGGAGAAGGGACGAAGGCCTGAGACCACCTACTCCAACTGTGTTCTTTATTATCTTTTCCAACACGAATGAACTTTCCCCCCATCAGCCTCCCAACTGTTACACTCGAGCCCAGGGATCCTCAGAGTGTGGTCCCTGGCCCAGCAGTACCAGCATCACCTACTGACCCAGAATTCTGGTGTTGGGGCCGCTGTTGTGGTTACCAAGCCTTCCGGTGACTCTGGTGCAGGTGGAAGTTGGAGAAGCACTGAGGCAGCTGGTTGGCACACGTTACCAGCATGGTCCCGTTGTTAGGTTATGGGTTACAAACACAGCTGGCCTGTAGTGGAGCAGTTAAGCACGGTGTGGAGGAAGGTGGACACCACATGGCTGACCAGGGTTTGAATCCCTGCCCAGGTGGCTGAAGAACCATGCTTAATGCACATGTGTGCATGCCCCAAATCCTGACAAGATGGAGAAATGAAGAAGGGACTGCAATGTGTTTCTCTCTCTGTCTCTGGTAAGCATATGCATCCTCTGGCAATAATAATAATAATAATAATAATAATAATAATAATAATAATAAACCATCTACGATATTGTTGAGAAATGATATGAAATACTTAGGAATA